ACGACATACAGGACGGTTTCAAGATGTGTCAAGTGAGTTCGTTCAAACTAGTTGAATTGGGCATTTGACAGCATGGGCTTCTTGATTATTTTATTGTTCAATCATACATTTGTTCCTGAAATATACCCCCTTAAGTCTGAGACGTCGCAATTCCTCCATCCCGGGCATCTCCGATCACGCAACGAACGATTGAGGTCCAACCTCGCTGCAGGTGAAACCCAATGAGCCGGAATGGCCAGACTACATCAACTGGCGACCCGGTCACGGCCGGGAGTCAGGGCGGCCGGTAACGGCGATGTCACGGGGAATGACTCTACAGACGAACCGCTCGGCGAGCGGTGGTGCCCGTATCAAGAGCAGATGAACAGAGGAGGACCATTGGTTGGTAGAAGGGCCTTAGCTACATAACACCGGAACTGGACTGCTAAATAGCAACCTCAAAGACTTGTGTAGGGCCCTGCACAGAAGTCAATGGGGTTCAGAGTAGAGATAGGTTCTTCGGGAGTTCATGCGATTGGTTATAAGGAGAAGGACATCTTCATGCGCCGAATGCACAGTGTTTGCATTTTGGAGAAAGTCACATGATGTCAGGGGGCATCAGACAGAGACATGATTCAGCAAGATGGGTCTGGGGTGAGTGTCCATATTGTTTTTCACTCCTAAGTGATGTTGCTGTTCTTCCCTTTTCGACAAGACCATCCTCATGCCCAAAGAACCGGGATCAATCTCTTTTGGCATGCGTTTCCCGCAAAGATCTATGAAATCCAGACACAACCTGAACTCACCCAAACCTGTTTGCACTTTCTTTGCCTCGGCCCTGGAAGAGTTTGGCTTCCGCAATCCCCCGTTTCGTTGGACCCATGGGTCGGATACTCCAAGGATTGCGCATGCAGATGCCACCTTGACCTTCCCCCAGACGGTGGTGCTTCGCTACACACTTCAGGCGTTCGAAAACCACGTCCGTCGAAGTCAGTGGTTTTGGTCAGTGGTTTTCGGTGATTTGCTGAATGTTTTCCTCGTAAGGCGAGACCCATTGGCTGCGATTTCCAAGTGTTTCAAAAATATTATAGTCACATGGTGTCGTTTTCTCGGTGTGGCTTTTGGCTTTCAAACATGGCCCAGCTGGACAAACAAGTAATTACATGGCCCACGACGAAGGCCGAAGGTCTGGCTCCAGCTTTGACCCTGTGTAACAGACAGCAGCGAACTCGTGCAGGAGAAGGGCAGAGCTGACTCAGCAGCGGAGGTGCAAGAAGATTTCTCGGTTATAAACGGAGCCTGTTTAGCCGAATTGCCAGGTTCTGACCCCCTTGCACAGACTAGAGTAGTCACTCAAGTCTACAGATTGTACGGATGTACACGGTATCAATCCGTATCATATTGGATGTTTCGCATTGTGACAAATGTGCAACACCATGACTCATCCTGGTGCCAGGACTATGGAAAGTGGTACATTGCAAGACTTCGACTCTTAGACAACACGCTCGCAGATGGACGTGAGTTTTTGTGTCAGGAATCTCAGATGAGCCACATGGTGACCCTTTGCTTAGTGTTTGAGCTTGAGATTTTGTGTTGAAAGACGATGGCACCAAAAATGTCTTTGGGAAGATAATTTTATTGGCGATATGGACGAACCATCGGTTGTGGCAGTTGTTGTTTGTCCATGAATCACGTGCCCGTGCATTCGGTGTGACTGTGTGCATGGTTTTGAGGTGGTGGCAGATTTACTTCGGCCGACATTTGCCACTGGGCTCCATTGGGTGGAGTCTACCAGTAGCCTGTTTGGATGCTCGCTCCTACTTGGGTTGTCTAATTTGTAGGGCTGCAGGGGGAAATTATGGGGAAATTTGTGTATGAGATTTTGCCCCAGGCTTTGCACAAGACGACTACTGCAATACAGGCCTTTTTGTTGCTACTTTACCTAATTGCAAAAGTAAGGAATCACCTCACCATTGTGCATAGCGGGAAACCGCTTTTCACATTCAGCTGTGATCCACGAGACCCAAGGTGTAGCCTTTGCATTGGAGCTGGGCATCACCTTTGGATTTGACCAGTTTCTTGGCTTTTATGGCTTTCCAGTGGTACGTCGTGGTGACATCACTTTAAAGGCATATGGCACGTCAACGTCGTGGCCTTCTTGCAAACGGTTTTGGCGGAATTGTGCGGATCGTGTTCTTGATTAAAAGTCGTTCTTCAACAAGAAAACATGGACCTTCCGATAGAAGGACGGTGAATTGCAAGTTGTACCCGCTCTTGGGTGAACATTAGATGATCTCCAGCCGGCTGAACACAGCCAACCCCAAATACGCAGAGTGTCCTCTTCTGAGGCAATACAAGCCACAGACCAAGAGTTACCTGGAACGTCTTTGCCAACGGCCAGCCTTCCTGGCCGCGAAGGCGCGCGCCGACGAGTTTCTCGAATCCGACGAACGGTGGTGGCAAGTCTGCTCCGTTTGTAGCGATGCCCTTTGTTACTAGTAGCGTCCTCTTGCTCCTAGTAGTAAGGCCAGGAGCCCCAGTAGCGTCCTTGCTCCTAGTAGCGATGCCAGGAGCCCCTAGTACTCGTAGCTGCTTAGTGAGAGAGTGTTCTTTCTCCTGTTTGTCCATTCCCTTGCCAAGTACCCTTCAAGACAAATGATCCAACGCAGGAATAGGAATCGTTCAATTTGTTTATGGGGTCCCATGCTTGGCATCATTTGTAAGAGTAATGCTGAGGAGGATCAAGGCACGAAAAGTGGTTTCAACTACACACTGCCAGATGTTGCCTATTGGCGGCATGTTTGCTCAAAGACACGATTCAAGCCACGACATTATCCGGTTTAGGGTTGGGAATATTAATATGATGCAGCCAACACTTTGAGGATATTGTCTCTTCTGGTATTACAAGCATCTTGTTTGCCGAGAATTATATACCTTCTTGGGCATCAACACCCTCCAAGAACATAAGTTACGTCCCTTTCCGAAGACAAGGAAGTTCAAGTCAACGCCAGGACCCGAGATTTGCCCCCAACTCAACAGACCAATTGCTTCAACAAAAAGCCGCTTGGTCATGCTTGGTCCAATTCGACCCTTCCCCCTCCAGTGCCATGACACGCTGGTGATTCACCATGGTGCGGGGGGCACCTTCCATGAACGATGCATGATGCGAAGACCAACCGTGCTGTTGGCTGGCCTGCACTCTTTGCAGGAACATCAAACAGAAAGCTCAAAGCAGTTTCAAGCCATAGCCAGCCAGGCCACAGTCATGCCGCACTGATGGAAGGAGGGTGACAGGGGACAATTTGATTGGATCCCTGCTCGAAGAGCTTTTGTTCGGTGTTTTCGTCTTACTCTTGAAGGAAGAGCTCGGGTTTCCAAACAAGAAATGGTTCAAGAGCAGATAGCTAAATATCCCGCCTGTTGTGTCTTCATGTATTTGATTGGGCTTATGCTTCATATTCTATTGACCGTGGACCCTCGCATCTCCTGCTTCTAAGAATAACATTGATGTACGTAGATGCATCTCAGTGTGTTATATATATATTATATATTCAAATATAGATACTTTGGATGGGTTTTACTGGCCTGCTGCTTGTCAAGAGGCAGACTTGGAGTCTTTAGCTTGATCCTCGCAAACAGTCTCCGATTCTTCCAAAGACCTTGCCAGACCTTGTTGCGGTTCTGAATTTACGGTTGTTCATGAAGCAAAGCGGCCTGGCAGGTTTTTTCCAGGGAAGTACTATCTAAATGACTCTAAGAAAAATTACGCGGCAAATGAAATTTCAGAATCTCCTGCAATGTTCGGGTCATCGCCGATGGTAGACCGATGATGTTCTTTACCTTGAAGGGACTCCAGACTATCCTTTAATAGACAGCTTATGAGCTCGGTTTTCTCGTCATGTCTCAACGCAGGAGGATGCCCTTGGCAGACCTTTGGTAGTAGGACAAGTAGAGCCCACCACTATAATTGTGATTCAATTTGAGCTTTGGAGACAGAGCTGGCCGTGGCTTCAGCTCATAATATCGAAGATCTAACAAGATCTAGGATATCACAAGTTCTATTCCATGTTGATCCACTTTTTGGCGCTATTTACTGTACCTTCTTTGTTTTGGCGCTCCCAGGCAATGAGCTTCCCAAAGACATAAGCGAACAAGATTCCTATGTTCGGATCTATTCAGCAGGGACTCACACCGAAGCATGTGTTCGTATGCTTTTCCCATCCAGGCGAAGCTTTGAATCGCCGCGAAAACATGAAGCGTGTGATGTGGGAGCAGGGGTCCTCATTAGTAGCTGGGGTCCGTTTTTTTTTGAACCAGCAGGCGGAACAAGGTTGTGAGATATCATCATCTCACAAAGGTCCCATCCAAAGGTTGTGGAGTCGCATATGCCGTGCTTTAACATATGTAAAATATGTTATGCCGTGCTTTGGCTGCCATCTAAGATGTGGCAGCAAACTGCTTTGTACACACACACACGCACTGGATTTGATCAAGATAAGCGAAGTTACCACAAGTTGAGGTGAGAATGATTGATAATCATGAGGTCTTTCACAAAAAGACACACATCATGGGCGACTTTCCCGCATTGTGACGTGGTTTCTCACCAGTGCTCTTGGTATATGCGGTTGGAGGGAAGATGGGCGTGTGGGTGATCCTCAGTCCTGTGGTTTGCGGCCTTCTTATTGCCACAATTACTTCTGTAAGCCGTAAGCCTGCCTGACAGTAGCGGGCAGTAGCCATGTCTCCGCTTTCATTAGAACATATTAGAACTGTTCCGGTTTGACATCCATACCTAGAGCGTATCTACCATACTTGCGCATAACACCACGCCTCCAAATAACACCCTGCAGTAACCCCGAATGGCACTTTTGAGCAAAGATGTTGACTCACTAAAACTTGGTTTTGCTTAGTGGCTTAGTGGTTGACCAATTCTTTATGACTTTGTTTGGGTCGCATGGCAGCTGTGACTCGTCCTCCCAGCTACTGCGTGTCTCGTGCAATTGGATGACGAGACCCTGGACATGGCCGAGTCACTCTGGAAGAACAGGGCTTTGATCCCCGTAGCGGACCACGTGGGAGTTCCTTCTTTTGTCATGTCTTGCAGCTACATGTTCATGATGCAGAGGGATTCCAGATGTATGAACCGTCATACCTCACTTACATGTGGCATTTTGGCTATAGCTTCTTTCAGCATGGAGGTCACGAGCCTGTCTGGCACAAGAATCGCAGAGCTTGACCAGCATGAGTTGGACCGCATGGTGGACAGTGGGCATGGCCGCATCGCAGACCTGAAGCAACTCCTTGCTACGCAGCTCGGATACTCCAGGTTTCGGCAAAGAATCTTCAGCGAAGATGCTGAGCTGCAGGATGATATGCCTCTAAGACCAATACCAAGCGTGCAGTTGGTACTCCTAGACTTTTCTTCTCTAAATGATATAACGGAAGATGCCCTTTTTCTTGCTTGTTTTGAGAATGAAGCCGGCGAGGTCGAATCGTTGCTTCAGAGTCCATTAGACCCCAATCGATGCACTTGCAATTTCAATTCAGAGAGTCGTGAAATGCCAGAGGAGCTTGAGCACTCGCGAACCGATCTTGCGTTCTTGCTGGATCCAGAAGCCCAACAGTATGAATGGGATATCTTGACAGAGGCAGCCTATCTGGGCCACTTGGAAGTTTTGCAGTTGTTGCTTGAGGCTGCAAATGACAAGGATGCATCAAAGGCGGGTAGGGGTAGAGACTATGGCTTGCTCGCTGCATCTTACAAGGGTCACTGGAAGGTTGTGCGATTATTGCTTGAGGCTGGGGTTGACAGGAACACCAGAACATTTATAGGGGCAACAGCTTTGATGGTTGCAGCTGAGAATGGCCATGTAGAAGTTGTGAGGTTGTTGCTTGGGGCTGGAGCTGACAAAGATGCAGCAAGGAAAGATGGGACAACAGCTTTGCATATGGCAGCTGAGGATGGCGAGTTGGAAGTTGTGAGGTTGTTGCTTGAGGCTGGAGCTGACAAAGATGCAACAAAGAAAGGTGGGGCAACAGCATTGCTTATGGCAGCTTATTATGGCCGTGTGGAAGTTGTGAGGTTGTTGCTTGAGGCTGGAGCTGACAAAGATGCTGCACGAACAGATGGGGCAACAAGCTTACTGGTTGCATCCGAGAATGGCAACTTGGAAGTTATTCGGCTTTTGCTCGCTGCAGGAGCTCACTGATTCTGTAGATTCTGTATGCATATGGATAGGTGCATGTGCCATCAGGGGTGGTGACCCTAAAAAGCACACCTCTTTAAAACAAGGACGCTACTAGAGGCTCCTGGCCTTACTACTAGTAACAAGAAGCTGCAAGTAACAAAGTGCATCATAGTGGGCCAAGACTTTGCTTGCTACTCAGGCCTCAGCATCCACTCAGTAGCTTCTCGGTCGGTTGAAGCTCATCACACCGCTCATGTCCTTAGCTACTCGGGAAGCACTCACTATCTATGCACATACCTGCCAGGCCGCTAGAGGGACTCAAAACGTGTGGGTATGGTTCTTGCTCCGGACGCGCTCTGACCCACTTCTACAACTAGGGCGACTGGTTTTCTTCGGGTGATTGATGAGTAGGGGGCAAGGAAAGCGTGTCGCACATGTTCAGAAACACCGCGTCAAGCACACTTGAACACTTGCGTGTCTCTTTGTATGGGCCTGCGTTCAGTTTGAGCCTCTGGCCGACGGATGTGTTCTTGCTATGTTTATGCCTCTTTCGGCTCAACCCAGTTGAGCAAGTCTCACTCCAGATTGCCATGGCAGTGTGGCAGGGGGCTGATTCCACTGAACAATCAGAGGAAAGTATTCTCACTGTTTTGCCCATGACAAAGCTGCCAACCATGCACGTGTTTGTTCGTGAAAAAGCGTATAGACACTTGTGAACTTGGACTTGACTCCGAGGTCGCGGCAATGGCTGAGGCGCGGTGGGACTTAGCAGACGCCCAGAATGGAGCGGAAAGACTTAGCATAAGTCCAGCCAACTGGCGAACCTGCGCGGTGGCTTTCCACTTTGAAAGTTTCGTGATCCAATCGGTGAAACCGGTGGAACGCTGACCTCGTCCAGTCCTGCCTCCCGTTTCCCTCGTGGACTCGACTCCGTCGGGCTCAATGTCGACCCAATACATACGTTGCTTCTTGGATTCAGCACACGTTGCAAGACATCCAAGAAGAAGCACGGGTTGCACTCGGCCGCTTCTTCTTTTTGGAGCTTACTGTACGAAGGATTTCGATGGGATTCGGCAGAACTATGTATATCATGCCAGGGGGGGATATTCAGAAACAGTGGACCTGAGAGGGGAGGCATGTTGAGGCATTCTATATCATCTATATCATTCTATCCAATCTTATCCTATTCTATATATAAGACATCCAAGAATGCCCTGTTCCACCCTACAGTAGCCCCGGCTGTGGAGACAGCTCCACCATGTCCAGGCAGCGCATGATGGAACCGTGGAGCCGCTGGAGCCTCAGGGAGGACCCGTGGACAGCTCCGCTGGCAGCCCATCTCCGGTTGGGAAGACAGCTCAGCCATGTCCAGTCTAAAAAATGAAGCTACTTTGGATGGGCATGGATGGGCTGATGTACCGGTGACCTGGTTGCTCACAGCTCTCAGCTCAGAGCAGGTAGATGACCAGACATGACCCCCATAAATGGGAGTATGCAGTATAGATTCCTTCATAGGCATGACATGGGTGTAGATGACTCATGACTCCAAAGACCAGGTGTAGCCTGACGTGTCCAAGGACCTGTGGCCCTTCCCTTCGTCCGAGGTCCCTTCCATCGGCTCCACGCTTCGGAACGGGGCGAGAAGAGATGCCGGACGGCAGCGTTTACGAAGGCTGGGACTTTCTGCCGTAAGCGTGTCGTGTTTGTTTGTTTTTTGTGTGTGTAGCTTTTGTTTTTTCGTGTGTTGGTTTGTTCTTCACCGAGTGCGAACGAGTTAACTAGTTGGATTGGAGCCTTTGTAAGTGGAACGGGAGCCGTCCAGCCCATATATGAGATTTGCAACTTTGCATGGGTGTGGCCCTGAAATCAGCAGTGACAAGCAGTAGCCGCCATATCCACTGACTCTTCCTTGAGCCAACCAAACTATCTATATAACCAACCTATATATATATATAGATATATACAGACAGATACTGTATTTAGAATTATTTAGATGTGTATTCTACTTGTATGATTACCTTTTTTAGCTAAGCCGAAAGGCTGGTGTTGGGGTTGTAATCACAAAGGTCTTTTGGCAAGACTTCTTTATGAGTACAACATTTGTCCGATGGATCATGATCCAAGCGGAGCAAGCCTCAGCAAGACATTCAAAGACTTGGAACATGGGCTAAACACCAAAGAGATGTTCATTGAAATCAAGTTTTAATGATACACAGAATAGTTCAATAGAGGAACCATACCTTTTCAATGGAAGCGCTGGCTACATTATACATATATATATATATATATACGTTGTGTATATATACAATACTATACTATTTATATTTACAGTATATCCATATGTTATAGATCATTTACAGTAACAAATATATATATATATATAACTAGGATCAAGTGGTCCAACAAAGAACATGGCCATGTTGACAAGATGTTTGGCTGCAGTATTACTCTATGTGTGGTGATACCGAGTGATACTCATGGAATAAACAATTACATTTTAGGATCATGTTGGTTGTTTCCATTGTCCTGTTATTTTTTGAGTGCTTTGACCTCTCATTCATAGAATGCTGCTTTCTTTGCCCAGCACCTAACACGCCCTGCACCGTTGGAAGGCCGTTTCCGCTACGGACTGCGCGAGGGTCCAGGGCGCCTGGTGACCGCCCAAGGAGACACCTACGAGGCGAGTAGGGCTCCCTATAGGGCTCCAGTCGTTGTTTAGTTTGGAAGATATAATCATATCAACAGTGTATTTTAATATCAATAAACTGTTGATATAAACGGTTGTGTAAAAACGTGTTACAATCATATAAACGTCATACATAATACAAAACGTTTATGTAAACTGTTAAGTTTAGCCAGTCAGTAGGGCTCCGTCCTTGGCAAGGGTGTTTTCTATGGGTTTGAACGGTGGGAGCAAATTTGGGTTCCCTGTTTTGAGGCTGTGCTATTTTTGCCCTTCTTCCCCTTGCCTTTGCCGTCCTTATTCTTGCCCTTGCCATCCTTTCCTTTTGAATCCTTGTCACCACGGCCTTCCTGCGCCTTCATGTATGCCTTCTTGGTTGCATCACACCGGTAGTATACTGAAGAGATGGCCGGAAGTTTGGTGGTTTGGTCAGACGGTGAGACTTGGGGAGTTGTGCAATCTATAAGGGATCAGTGTGAACATGAGCCAAAAATGATTGGAAGTAAGACAGAATTCAGGTGGGATTCCATCCCACTCAGTATGTGGTTGTTTGTAGAGGGAACTGGTCTTCAAGGCGACCATTTCTTCTGTTTGTTTTTACCAAAACAGATCGAAACAGGTAGCCGGGAGGGTTCAGTTTCATCCATTTTGGCAGGTGTTTGTTTTTTTCCTCTGCGGCCGCGAACCCTACGCCAGGGCCACTTCCGGAACGGCACCTTCGACGGCGCGGGACAGCGGTCTTGGGCTGATGGCACCACCTACGAGGGCCAATGGCGTGCAGGTGGAGCGTGGAGCGTGTCGTGGAGAGGTCCTGAGGAACCGACTCTTTAGTGGTATACAGATTCTGTGGCGACCAGTAAAACTTCAATATCAATGCAATCTCTATGTTCAAAACACACACAACGCAGAACACACAACACAACACAACCCACATTTCATCGCACTTCTCGGCAGCCTTGGCCGAAAATCTGCCACATCCGCTGCCGGCCGCCGCCGCCCCCGTGACCGCAGGTCGCAAGCACGGCGAGGGGCTCCTGGTGGAGCCCTCGGGCCGCTTTTACCGGGGCCAATGGCGAGATGGCAAGAGGCCGAGTCCGTCCGGGAAAGCTGGGGAGCCAGTAGCTGGGCCAGGCCTGGGGAAATTTGACTTGGTGGCGTTTTGGGTTTCACAAGTGGTTGATCGACAGTCTCAGCAGGATTGACGGTCATCCGAGTTTCAGCCACCTGGAAGTAGCCATGATGATATGTGATTCCCATGTTTTGTCCAGTCTTTGAGACTCTTGATGGACCAGACTAGTTCTCCACCTGGAAATCCTCATACTTGTACGCCTTGGTTTGTTTGACTCCCTACTCTTCAGTGATTGAAATCATCTCAGACCATAGTCCATTCATGAATACGGACAACAAAACACCATCACCTCAATGACCGTCACTTACGTGGATACCCTCGATGCTCCTGGCTCATGTGCCTCTTGCGGCCAGGGAATAAACCAGCCATGACACGTTTGAGGCCATTTGGGGCATCGTTCTTTTCTTCGGAATGCTGAAGGCTCAAGATGAAAGTTCGCGAACAAACACCAATGGGAACCCTCATGCGAGGCATGGCTTTGGGATCCAGCAGCTGGACACTTACATGCGCTATGAGGTCCGGGCCGGACACTTGCTTTTGAGGGTAAACCCGCAAAAAGATCCATTTTGAGAGGTTTTGTTTATGTCACCTTTTGACCTTGACATTATTTGGATGTTCAGATAACATCACAAGTCTTCTTTGCTGGACAGTTTTCCTTTGTGATCAGAGACCGAGCCATGAACGTTTGCCACCACCACCGAAAGACCCGTTATGTATTCTGGAAGTACCCAAACTCACTATGGCAGGTTTACAAATGTTGTTCTGAATGGAGCTGTTGCAGGGAACCATGCCTGCCACGGACCATGTTGGTTCATGTTGGTTCATTGCTCGAGTTTGACCCAAAATCAGGCCACAACCCCAAAGTCCAGAAGCGTTTGCTGAGCAAATCACATTGACAAAACATTATCATAAGTGCTTGTTTGACAAAAAGCTGGCACCTGTGGGTAGAAGAGCTTGTAGATTTGTGTTTTGATTGGGCCAGGGCCGTTGGGAGAATGGGATGCAGCATGGAAGTGGAAAGCTCATCGATGCCAGAAATGACACTGTCGCTGTGATGATGAGAGGGCTTGGGTAATCTTCAGGGCTCAGAGCACACAGATCCATAAGAAACATATAGAAACATGATGAGACAATTGTAATTTGTAGTAATTTGCAGCTTTTCGAACCGGGCCAGCTTCATATGTTGGGGAAGCCATTCCTCTAGCCGTGGAGGGTTCTTAGTGTCCAGAGACTGGGCCCTGGCCCAGAGAGGACGTGGAGAAAAAACATCACGTTTGGACCTGTCACTAAGTCGGCAAGCAAGCAATTCGATGTGTTTCAAAGTTTCTTAAATGATGATAGCATGTTCTAATGTTGATCTATTTGGTTCATGGTGTTCAGACTGGCCACCATCTCATAGCAAGGGCCAATGGAGCAACTCTAGGACCAGGTGGGGCACAGATCCTGATCCTACGTACTCGGAATTGATTAATCGGCCTGTCAGCTCGGTTATGTTTTGCATGAAAACCCGTGCTTATATTCCATGTGAGGAGAAACCAACATTTCATTGTGTTCCATATTTGGCAGCTAGCATTTTTACCCCCCATCTGACTAGAGGACTCAACTGCTTGAGGCAGTCTTCATCAAGCCCTTCAGATACCTAGGCAACCTGAAATCCTTCAGCACCTTCCCTGCCAGGTTAGTCTCTAGAGAGGCAGCTGGGTTACCCCTCGCTGTACCTTCAAAAGGCCAAGAAACATGTCCGCAGGGCTCCTTTGATCTCTGAGGTTTTTCAGGGGCATTGGATTTGCGGCGCGCATCACGGTCAAGGGCTTCTAAGAAGCAAGGCGCAGGGGTTCGGAGGTGATTCTGCCATGGCAGGCGCCTTTGACTAGTTATCTGGAAAATGGGGTCAGCACTGGATCAAAAATCATGCACAAACACATGTTTTCCAATTTATGTGGGAGTATGTTGTTGGCGGTGAGAGTAGACGGACACAACTATTGCGTGCACAGGGGATGAGCATTCTGGTGATTTCTTTTCAAAGCTGAACCCCCAAGCACACTAGGGGTCCACAGAGATAGTACAGTATGTGATAGTATTGGAAGGAATGAAGCCAAGGTAAGATCTCACAAGTGCAACCAGCAGGGAGGTTATTGTTGAGGTTTCAGCCATCAAATACCTGACTGATTATAGATTCATCCGGATTAAGCGTAACTTTTGCTCCTCGGGGTAAATGGCACAATGCAAGGCTAATCATCAATCCACATCTGAAATGTTTGTGCATCGCTACTAGTAACAAGAAGCTACTATAGGTGGAGGCCATCGCTACTAGGTTGGAAGCCATCGCTAGTAGGTTGAAGGCCATCGCTACTTGTAGCAAGAAGCTACTAGTAACAAGGTGCATCGTTTCGAAGCTGCCTCTACCTCAAGAATCCACACCCTTTCAACAAGGTCATATATGAGGGTGAGCTGCGAATAGGAGGTCCTAAAGGATGCTTGAGACCCTGTAAGTAGATAGATAAGCATTCTTTTCGGTTAGTGTCTAGCCCTTCAGTTCGAGACTCCAAGATGCCTTTGCCAGGGCGGTTTGCGCGAAAAGATGCGGTACAATCAAGGCATGCTCATGGCAGTGGAGGAGTCACAGGGCACGACCTGGGACGACTAACCCTGAGGTGGGTCATGGGGTCACCCCCCTCATGAGTCCCAAACACATTGAGCCAAGCCCAAGTGATTACTTAACCGAAATGGAGACGTCTACCAGTGGTGGGTGGCAGAAATGAGGCCTTGTTCCAGTAACTGGGTGCAAGAGTTTGTGTGCGCAGATCCAAACTTTGGACAGTGACGATCCTTCAGAACAACTTCTCTCATCCAATTTCGACCTTCAAAGCAACAGGTTGGTCAATGTGCTTGATGTCCTGCATTGTCCTTTATTGCATTGTGGCTACTTGATTGGCCCGTCGGACCCCCAAACCAATCGGTCGGTCGGTTTGATCGGCGCTTTGCGTTGCGTTCGATGCACCGTGTGCCGTGGCAGGAGCTTCCACACTTGAAGGTTGGAAGCAGCGTTTTGGAGTGGAGAGGTCGCAAGGTTTAGATGAAATACCTGAGTTATATAGTTCGATGTTGGATGAGCTGAGGGTTGAATAATTCTAATCATGAAAAATATGTAGTTGAACACAGTTTTGCCATGAGACAAAAAGGACAAAGCCCATTGTGTAGCACAGAGATTCTCCGCTTACCATGCTTAGAGCACACTTCTAGGTGCAAAAAGGGACCCGAAATCCAAGCTCACCGAGCATCCGAATTAAATGGAACATCGAGAGACTGCAGGGCCACTGGAAACCATGTTCAAACTATAGATTTGGATGATACACTGTAAGTTGCACGAACAAGCTTGAAATCTGTGTGCGCATGGCGCATTTAACATTGTGTCAATTGTGTTTGTGTAAAGCCGTTGGATCATCATTGGTTTGACTATGTTTCAATTCTTAGTATGCAGTGCGAACAAGTTCCGATGGTCGATGCTATCCGACACACTGGTACAAAGGGAGAGTGTGAGAAGAAGTGTAGAAGTTTAACATAATCGATATAATCACAAATCTACTGTCGACTTGGGTCGGCAATTGTGCGGCGGTTGTCCCCAGCTTGGTTGTCAGCTCTTTGAACCCCTGTTTGTAGTGGCGTTGGTGGTATAACATGAGCCCTTACCGGGACCTGGCTGTCACATGTGCAACTTACTCCATGGCTGATGGCTGCTTTTGCGATCAACCTGGTTGGGGGGAGGCCACAATGGCGCCCATGGATCCGTGGGGATGCCGTCTCCACTGCGGTGAATCGAAATCTGAAGCATTTGGTGACTCTATTGGCCATCATGGCTCCTCCATCTGGTCCTCCTGTTCGAGGCACTTGGCAGTAAGCCATGGATGGTTGATGTTGCAGGGTTTAGCCTAGCGGATGGCGACCAAGGTTGTATTGGATGTCTTTGGGCCACGTGTCATTCCAGGCGGAATTGAAGAGTCAGCTTGCTTTGTGGGCGAGGTCATGTTGCAGGCTGAACTCGAGATGAACATGACGATTTTACACCCAGGAAGATCAACATGGAACATGAAAATGGACCTTTGGAAGACTGTTTTCCTTTACATCCCAGTGGTTTTCAGGTTCCATGTTAATCTTTCAGGTGTCGAGCCAGGCTGGCGGAAGCATGAAGCATCAGGAAGTTTGCCAATGCTTATATACAACTTTGGCGTCCCTTCAGCTGCGGGACGCAAGCCCGCTGGACACAATCGATGTTTAATCCTCTAGGAATAATAGAAAAATATTCTTGGAGGTATCGACGGTATGAGGTATCTAAGGGATCCCCTATGGAGGTAATATATCGTTTGGAAAAGGATTTGAAATGGAAATGATTATTATAATATGTTTTAATTGAATTTAACGAATGTATTGTTAATTTGGATTTTTGTTTATTTTTGTGTTCGCTTGGGGAATTTTATATAAAGATTTGTTAGGTTTTATGTTTTTGGTATGTTTTATGTTATTTTGGTATATGTAGCATTCGATTAGGTGATCGTAATAAAATCATTGATTATATTTTTGGGTATTTAATATTGTATTTGTAAGAAAAATATGTCGGGAATTCGTAAATCGTGGTAGAATTTAATTTGAAGATATTCTTTCGTTTTTCGAAACGCTACAGAATAAATTCAAATGGTAATTATTTGAGGACGTAATTCGGGTTATTATTGATTATGATTATTTCTAGGATGCATTGAAGAATATATCGCACGATGTTTTGGCGTAGAGCTATAATATTTTGACGCGGCATTGGTGGTGTCTAGCCCAGGAAAAGGATAAGCACTTGCATTTTAAAAGGTCTGCTTTGTAATGCCTATTTTATACAGATCCCCTGTGGTCTCAATCCTATGGTTGGAATTTGAAAGGAATCTTTTGGTTGTATTATTGTATAGGCAGCATTGTGTCGTCAAACGCGAGGTAATAATGATATTGCACGTGCGGTGGAACGAACCATGTAGCGATATGGAAAAGTGGCGGGAAATAGGTCGGACGATGTCTTTGCTTTGAGAATTTAGCTGGAAATAACCCAGAGCCCGGAAAAAATTGTCCTTCTTCTTTTCGAATAAAGAAAGATGCGAAAAAAAAATTCTCCGAGGCTTTAAGACATTGTACATGATGCGCGCTCGATTTTTGAAGAGCCGCAAGTGGAATTCTAGCCGGCTGCGCTTGATCCAAGTGTTGCTAAAAGGATTTTAAAATCCTCGAGGCCTGGGTCTGTTCGGTAGTGGGCGGACGCTCGCAAGGCTACAAACAACGGAGAGGAGTGTTGCGCCGTAGGATGGGTTGAAATCGTTTGGGACGAGAAATCTTATAGGAAGGGCTTCGTCGTCGTTAAATTGATGGAGGACAATGGGAGCCAAATAGCAACAAGAGGGATATGGGCAAAACAACACATGTTCGGCTGTTGGGTTGTTCAGGCGCTATTTGTGTGATCCCCGAAATATTTTTGCATGCATTTTGAAATTACCATTATCCTGGTGAGAACCTAGGGGACACCCTGTTTCAATGACATTTCTATCAAAGGAAATTTAGTGTGCAAAATTTCCGTGTTACGGGTATTCAATAGCTGTTCAACCACCATTCATCAAACACCACCCATCATACACCATTCATCATACACCACTCATCATACACCACTCATCATACACCACTCATC